CACCGGTGCTGGGGGGGGAGGGGTGGCCTTCCCTCCTCTGCTCCCTGAGAAGGAGTGAGGATGTCGGGCTTCTACTCACGCCGAGTCTTGGATCCTGGGTCGTCTCTGGTCTGCAAACTGCAGGATGGAGCTGTCTGCTCCTTGTCGGTTCTTGCTGGTGTTGAGTAGAATCCGCTCACCCGCTGCTTCTGGCTCCTTTGTCCCGGACTCTCTGTGTGAGAGCTCAGGTATCGCCTGGCTGCGGAATCCACCGCGACCCTGCCACCGCCGCTGCCGGCGGCTGCTGGCTAGTGCTCAGATGTGTATTCTTGCCTTGGCTTTCTCTCACTTGTCTAACTCTCTGTCCTGTGATGGCACACTTGGTGTGTTTCTCTGGCTTAGGACTGTTCACTGGAACTCTAAAACTGCTTTCTATGCGAGAGCTTGTTCAGATTCCAGCTTCTCCTCCGCCATCTTGTCACCTCCTCCCGGCACAAGCTCATTTTTATTTAACAAAGCTACAAATTGAAGTGTGACACTGCATAATACTATGTTCCATGTCTGTTTCCTATGGTCCTCCTCTTATGGAGGCCTTTTCTCACCTGACTCTTAGAGGTTAGAAGATTATGTTCTTCCCTTCCAAAAATCTACCATGAACTGGCAAACAAGCCGCACAATGAGCAAAGGCTTCCCCTGAGACTTGAGTATGTATTGGATTTTCTCTCAGAATATGCACCGACCACTCAGACCTCCAAAGTAGACCCATGCTATTTCCCTCAGCACAAGCATCATCTTAGGAAAGGACCATCCTTACCAGTTTCTCTATTACATATAAGTTCTCCTAATCCCTCTGTCACTGATAGATCTAAAATATTTCAACTTCCCCTGTTGGTAAAACATGAAATAGCCTGACAGCCACAGCTGTGCTGGGAGAAGTTCAATACTTACTGAGTCCCAAACAGAAAGAAAACATTTATAAATTTATCCACTGACTATATCATGAGCTTTACTAGGGAAGCATTTGAATATCTCAAAGAACCACAAACCACACAGAGAGTTGGTTTTAGTGCCAGGGGCAGACAATACTATTGAACAAATGCTATTTCTGCCAATGCACCCTCTCTGCTCCTGCCAACACCACTCCATGAAGCAAAGCGATGTCAGGTGAGACAGCGCTTATCCATGTGGGTCCTGATTGACCTGAAACTCTCCATATTCCTTCCTGTTTCTCCCTGAGTGATTAGGATTACACATAGGCAGTATCTGTGGTAGAAACAGTCCTTTCATCTCAAATAGCATATATGTGTATTTCACAGGATGTCACTATCAATCTTACACCTTACATCTTAAATAAGAATCCTACTTTCAAACAGAACTTTGAAGGCATTTTAGAAAAACGAATAAACACAAAACACTCTGCCCTGGTTTACATGGCAGCTAGCCTGTGAGACATCAGTGACACAGTGACCCTGAGATCCCTGTGTGCAGATCAGCTTCTTACTCTATGCACACAAAAGATCTTTTTTTAAAATAAGTTTTTTATTGTTAAAATACTGTACAGAGGGGTTCCAATCACATGAGCAAGCTAATGAGTACATTTCTTTTTTTAATTTTAATTTTAATTTTTTGTGAACATACTGTAGAGAGGGGTTACAATTACATGGGCAAGATAATGAGTACATTTCTTATCAAGCATTGCAGTCTCCTCCTTTGAGCATTGCAGCCTCCTCCTTTGTGAGTACATTTCTTATCAAGCATTGTTGCCTCCTCCTTTCCCTCTCTCCTCCCCCATCCCACACCTGTTCGTTTTTCAACATAGCGTTATGTATATCTCATGGGTTAACTTGTACCCAATTTAAACAATTTGTTTTTTCCTTTTCACTCCCCAAATTATACCAACATCAAATAGAGTGAAAAAAGGAGTTGGTGGGGAGGGTCATAAAAAGCTACAAGAAAATTATGTGGTACCTTATAAATACATTAGAAACCATTGCAAGAAAGAAAAAAAAACACTTGTGTCCCTATGTTGGGGTTCATTTCGATTAATATCATCCTATCAGACCTGTTCTGCTTATTCAAGACGTAGTTGCATACAAGGGAAACCATGGGACCTATGTTTTTTGGGCCTGGCTTACTTCACTA